CGAGATATAGCTATTTTTTAAGAAATGACGGCGGCCATTTTTGAATTCAAGATGGCGGCCGAAGTTGTAGGTGGATCGCGTGTGTCCTGCTTTTAAATGAAAGAGCATACAAAAGTATGCAAGTGTACCAATTTTCACACTTTTTTCACAATTTGAACGATTTAGATGATATTCTGACCTAACCGACTGTACTAGAAGGGATCGCTAGGCTTTAGCGTAAGTTGGTTTGCGTTGACACGATGGCGACTCGTGTGTAGAGGAGAGAGTCCTTTTGCTCGTTCGTGTGGACATGTGAATAGATAGCAACCCGAAGAATTGTCAGCCGGCCTTTTTCCGGCGTGTAGCACGCGCGGTTCTCATCTTGTGTTGCCCATGAAGGCAGTGTGAGAACACAAGGTGTTTCTCTTACTGAAAGATGACGTAAAGTCGTTTGAACATATCAGTCATATCAAGAGCTAATAATACATTGTATTAATACATGCATAATTAGCTTTATTGTATAATTAGCTTTAATTATTACGTTAATGTGTACATTGTGTAATACATGTATTATCAGGAGTCTCTCAATAGATATATAGCTATTGATAGACTCCTGATATTATTAGCTCTTGGGCATATCGATACGATTTATTTCTCATATTATCTGAGATTCAACCCTTATTTTTTTAATGGCAATATGCTACGGGAATGAATTACTTATGGGGAAGGGGACAGTAATTTGTATATTTATGTGCTAGGTGTTGACTTTTGATGGTTTTTTAATCTAATAATTATATATTCACTTGTTATACAATCAGAAGCTGTTCGGGTTGGTACTGCTGCTGCGGTCAAGCCTGCAGCGGAGCGAAGGGCTATAGTACTAGAGCTACGGTTGACCCCTACGTTGTGCTGTCACTGCAACACGCGCATAGATGCGGTCGTGACTGTAATGTTTGCTTTACGTGATAGGGCTCGCGGGTGCGTCTCGTCAGATATTTCATATTTCCACACTCGTTTTTTTTTCGGAGCACGAATTCGTTTTATTGCTATTCCATCCGGAGTCATACAATGGTCAATGCTACGCGTGTGTGCTCGACTACAACCGTTGACTACGAACGTCTGCGCTTGCGCACCGCCGCCGCAACACTCGTATCTTAATCTCATTCTATGGCGTGATGATGTCTTACTCTAGATGTCATTCCCCCGCGTGACCACGTAAAATACTGACGTCACGATTCCTCGGTTGGTGGGTAGAAGGGGAGATACAGGTAACATGAGTCATCAACCAAACCTGTTAAAATTTCGTGGGGCGGGACGAAAAAAACGTATGACGGGATCTCCGGCCCTAGTCCGACCGAAGTCGATATCTGAGCGCTTCATTCTGAGAGCGTAACGGTGAAGTCTAGTTGAGAACGCTGGGCGTGCGTTCGTGCTAGCTCTAAGTAATCCGGCATCTACGCGGCGTTGGCAGTCATGTTCTCACGCACGGGGCGTGCCAAACTATTACCTATGAACATTTCTACCTGCTTGACGAATCTTAATTAGTACACTACGTAAATTAATTATCCGTGCGCCGGCGGCACAGTCCGCTCGTGCAGGCCGGGGGCGGTGCGTGCGCGCGGCAAGTGATGGACTAATCCGCCCGCAACCTCTCTCCCTACTACCGCTACTGCTCCTCTCCCTCTCTCTCTCTCTCTCCCCGTGGTCGTCTCCAGGTGGCGCCACCCGTACGATGACGTCATCGTCTAGAAGTCATCGTCGTGGACCCACGGCTTGGCGACCGTCTCCAGGTGGCGCCACCCGTACGATGTCGTCGTCGTCTAGAAGTCGTCCTCGTAGACCCACGGCTTGGCGACCGGGTCCCAGTTAACGAGCTCGGCGGGCTTGAACCACAGCGCCACCTCGGTGTTGGCGCTCTCCACCGAATCGCTGCCGTGGCAGATGTTCCTGTGCGAGAAAGACGGCACGCACGCGTAAACAAAACTATGCGTAAAAAACATTTAGTTTTAATCGTTAAATAAAAGTGGTAACGATTCTATTTCCATTTAATTTTCCTAAACGTAACTAATACCCCCGTCACACCGGACGGCGACCATCCGCGACCGTACGGCGACCAGAAAATGTACAAGGTCGCCGACAAACGCGAACACAACGCGAGAAAAAGTCCCAACAAATTACAAACTTGAAAAAAAAACGCGCTCTTACCGCGACCTGTGCGATCATACCGCGTTCTCACGGCGCGCCCGCCACGACCTCTCCGCGCTTATGGCGTTTCTATTGAGATCTATGGGCTTGGCAACGGCGATCACCGGCGTTCCCGCGGCGCTCTCACCACGCTTGTGGGTTCTTACCACGCGTCTTCTAGTATGTGTATCGCAACTGCACGGCGACCTCACGGCGTTTCGATACCACGTTTCACCGGCGACTATATAAGCTGCCGTCAGATTTTGCGGAAATTTTAACTGTAGTTAGCTTGTGCGTTAAGAACTCGAGTAAGAAACACGCGACATGCCGAAGAAGAAAAGCTACCAGAGCCGAGGCCGTGGGTCCGTGCGAGACAGATCGCGCATGAAACAGATCTGGCAGATTCGGATGGATCATATCATGATTCGCCTTGAATTCTGTCCATTTTCGCAGATCTTTGCACGCTGTGTACTTGCGCGTGTACTACGTGTTATGGAGATGTTACGCGCTTGCTCACGACCTCGCGCCCCACGTCGTTCTCAACGCGTTCAGTCAGATCGCCAGAACCTTGCGTCTTGTTTTGAACATACTCAAAACAAACGGCCGGGACTCTGGCGATCATGGCTCGCATGGCGCTCACACCATCATGTCTTGGCGTCCACCACGCTGTAGCGCGACCTGGCCACTTGGGCCCATTTTCCGTCGCCGTAGCAGCGCAGTAAGGACGCCACCCCGGTGTGACGGGGGTATAAAGTTTGATTGTGTAAACCTAGCTTTTATACGATATAGGTGGCAGTGCGTGGGTAGAGGCAGCAGCAGGTCGGGGTCATGCAGTCGGTGATAGCATGGGGGAAGATGCAGTCGTCGGTCATTAAAAAACAAACATGTATAGTGATAGCAGGAGTCTATAATATAGACTATAATAATAATATACAATATAAAAATAATAATATATTATAGATCTATATGATACACTCCTGGTGATAGTACATTTAATTGTAACCCTGTGGTGGGGGACAACCTTTATGTTCGTGAATACCCCATGAGGTTTGCGTATGTAGATGGCATGGGTGAATAATGACAAAACTAAAATGACAGTTTGTCATTATTTACCCCTGATAGATAGTGATAGCCATTAATGCTGTGATGCAGTGTGATGATGATGATGATGATGATGATGATGATGACGATGTGATCAGGTAGATACAATAATGTAACCCAACAAGAGTAGGGAGGTTACATATATAACAAGAGTGCATGGTGGGTAACCATAGAAATAATATAGATAACTATCTATAGTGGTGGCTATTTCTATGGGGGGTAACCCTACTCTTGTGGGGTTACATCATTGTATCTAGTGATCAGGAAGTACGTATTACAGATATACGTGAATGGACGCTGTAGCTCCCACAGGCACTTGAAATGTCTCAATTGTGGAATGTCACATTTTGTGTTTATTTACCATAAATTTTTTTTATTGAGACGTTTTAAGTGCCTGTGGTAGCTCCGAGCTGTCGTGTGAAGGTCGTGAGAAGGTCCCGTGAGATATCAGTCATGATATTAGATTATCGATCACGATAACGACGATACGCCGTGACCCTATAGTAGCCTGTAGGTAGTCACCTGCAGTTGCTTAATTACCCGCAGCGTGCGTGAGAGCGCGCACCTGACGTGCTACGACGCCTAATCAGCGGCACGCACTCTTAATTAGCATAATTACTCGGCCTGGGATGTGTGTGTGTATGTGTATGTGTATGTGTGCGTGTACGTGCGTGCGTGTGTGTGTGTGTAGAGACAGAGAGAGAGAGAGAACGAAAAAAAAAGAAAGAGAGGGGAGAGAGGAAAATATGCATACATATCTATAGACAGAGGAAAGGTAGCGAGAGAGAGAGAGAGAGAGTACTGGCTACTGTGTCTCAGATATGGTCATCATACGTCGCTACGTTGCTCGTGGTTCTCATCTACCGGTATCCTACATTGCTACCTCACCTTCCTACCACATGGCGCGCACGTCCGTACGGTGGCTCCTCGGTACATACTACCTCCCATTATCGCTCGCACCTGCTAGGTGCCTCCTTGCTACATTCCACCTCCTGTTCTCGCTCACAACACCGTTAGTCGCCTCCCTGTTAAATTCCACCTCATATTCCAGCTCAGACGCCTAGTAGGTTACTTCCTGGTACATTCCACCTGCTACCCTCTCTCATCGTGGACCTGGTTCGCTGCTCAGTTTTGCCTCCTGGCTTGTCCCACACGGCTGGTAGGTGCCATTCCAATGTGTTCTGCCCTGTACTGTCTCTCAGATATATAATCTTGGTGCTTCCATTAGGAAATCCTATATTTACGACCCCATCACTGATATTCGTATCTGTTGTTGTTGTTGTTGTTGTCGTGTGGACCGTTTGTATAAGCATGATTCATGATTCAAAAAAATATATATATATATTTATATTTTTATATTTTAATACACACCTATGTTTGCTTTTTTTCTTCGTCTATTGCCGTTGTTCTGGCCTTGAATTTAAGTTAATCACACGCTATTCGCCATTACGTGTTCATGCGGGACATATAGGCCTACCTGCCGACTTGTACACAGAAATCTCCTCTGATGGTGCCTGGTGCCGAGTCCATGGGATTCGTTGCTCCGAGCATGGTTCTGCCCGTCTTGACCACGTTCAGTCCTTCCCATACCTGCGGAAGGATTCTTTCGTTAAAAAAACGCACCATGCTCGATCGATAGCATGGAGCGGTGACGTCGGAATATAGAGTGATTTTGTAAGAACGGTCACACACCGTACACGTAAGGTGTTTATATGACCATGTATTTGGAAGCTGACACCTTTATGAAGTATATATTATATTCTTATCAACGTGAAGATGTCCTTATCAGCCTATCTTGAAAACCGTGAAGATATCTTAACAAATGCCTCTTAAGCATATGTAGTCGTGAATGTATACGCTATCATAATTTCACAATTGTACACACATACTGAAATATCTACAGCAAAACAATACCCTCCCTAGTTAATATTGGGTTTCCGAGTGAGCTATTGTTTGATATTAGATCTCTAAGCAAGCTAACCCGTATTGATCGATATCTTACCATGGCGCACACGGGGCCTGATGACATGTACTTGATGAGATCTGGGAAGAATGGCTTCTTGGAAAGTGCCGAGTAGTGCTTCTGCAGAAGAGCGTCATCGGCCTGCGAGGGTTGGCATGGCAACAGCGTTCGTTAGCATCACATCGCATAATTATGATATAATAATGTTACATCACGTGACTCGTGTGAATACGCTAAAGTAATATCATGTGATGTTTGCCTCTATCACGTTATAACGGATCAATGTAATAATATTCTGGTATCAGATTTATGTAAGCGTGTGCTAGATTTATGCTATGCGGGGCTATTCCATATGCTATGCTTTTAGGGAATGCAGATAACAGATTTATATGAGAGTGGGCTAGCATCGTGCTATAAGAGATTGACGTGAGGGTATCCTGGTGACAGATTCATGTAAAAGCATGCTAGAATCGTGCTATATTATATATTGTAGTGAGTGTATGCCTCTGTCATGTTACAACAGCATTGACACGAGCATTCTTTCATCGTGTTACAACAAAGTCACGTGATCATACTTGCGCTGCTGGCCTTTATAGACGGATGACATTTACTACTATTGGTATATATCCGCCACCACGCTAACGTCTAGTGCATTCTAATCATAGAGGTACTATATTTAGGGTGACTGTTGAACTTTAACTTTAACCTTACTAGCGGCAGCATGAACAAATCAAGTACAATCTCTCAATCAAGTCTTCAAATCAAGTCTCTATTTACATAATCGGTTTAATGTCGCGTATAGGATCTGATCTCGCCTGCAAGTTTAACCATGACCTTGATGTTAAATAGCCACTATTAGTTTTTAGCGCGTGCAAATGACGCGATCGTAATGACGTTCTCTTGTTCGCTATGTCAATTGTCTTTCTCTCTCTCTCTCTCTCTCTCTCGTTTTTTCTTTCTTCTTTTATTTCTCTCTCTCTCTCTCTCTCTCTCGTTTTTTCTTTCTTCTTTTATTTCTCTCTCTCTCTCTCTCTCTCTCGTTTTTTCTTTCTTCTTTTATTTCTCTCTCTCTCTCTCTCTTTCTCTCTCTGTTGCGCGCTCTTTCTCTCTCGCGCGCCCTCTCTCTCTCTTTCTGCCTTCCTCTCTGCTTGCCTCTCATGTTCTTCCCCTCCCTTACTTAGTCGCACATTCACCCTTCCTATTACCCTGTTCTACGCGCGCACATACACGAACACATACGCACACACACACACACACACACACACACACACACACACACACACACACACACACACACACACACCGGGCTGTTCCCCCCACACAACACACACACTCCACCACCACCACCACCACGTACTTGCGTGAACTTCATGGCGACGAGTTTGAAGCCCTTCTGTTCAAAGCGCTTGATGATGTCGCCGATGATGTGACGGTGCACACCGTCAGGCTTCACGGCAATGAACGTCCTCTCACGGTACTGTGGTGCCATCTCTGCGAGGAGTCTGTGTCTGTCTGTCTGTGTGACGGAGGATTCCTTCGTACGGGCGTCTCGCTGGGCTAGAACTCGCACGCGGAATGAAGCAGCCGAGATGACGGGCTAGCGGAGATTCGCTGAAGGTGATTGCTACCCTGCGCTGTCGTACTGCGCCGGCTCCCCGCTTGTGGTCCACGCTAGACGATCGACGCTCGATGGTAGCGTTTGTGGGAGCTGAGAATTCGATACGCCTTCGAACGGTCGGTAGAGGGCGCGGCAATACACGCGCGCGTTGGTCGCTGGTTCGGTGGTATTTTTAGCCCGGGTATATTGATTATATATAGACGCTTTTTTCGGATGTACACGCGCGCACAGAGAGCGAGATGCTGAGCTAAGATTTCCGCTGACAGCGATAAAATGCGGTCAGGACACTGACAAATGGTTAAAGGCAGAGAGTGTGCTGGAAGAAGGAAGACAGCTATATCCAACCACGCCATGTTAGCTAACACGTCGTTACATTTATTTCTGAACGATACCTATGCATCTATGCACAGTCGACATTGAATATTGTTACTAGATTACTAGATTTATGTGTTAGCCCGTATTATAGTTTTATATTATTTTGGTTAGCAGTTAAGGGTTTGATAGTATCGTGATTGTGTTATTTTGTCAAATTCCGTATCAGATTCCTAATTTATTCACACATATTTCACAATAACTTCAGTACCCATTAAGTGATCGTGATATAAATTACATTGACTTAATAGATCGAGGTATAAAGCTGTCTCTAAGTCAACTTTACAGCAGACACTGTCAATAGATGGCGCCACGTGTCTACCATATCGCGCATTTTCGTTGAGGATTCATTGGGCTTCCGAGTGGACAATTCCAGACTTTTCCAAATTCGTCAGTGTTTGCCAGCGGTCCGTTTACTCTGGAAATTACATGAAATCGGAAATGTCTAGAAATGTATATTGTTATGTACGATGACAACATCATATATATATTACTTGTAATACAATAGAAGATGTGATCATGAACAGTCCACATGGAAAATGCTTTCATTTATATTGTTATTCATTTATATTGTTATACTATTATATTGTTCTTGACTATACTTAACAGTCATGTCAATACGTGTCACAATATGTTTAGTCGTATTAGGATACGACTAAACATATTGTGACACGTATTGACATGACTGTCAAGTATAGTCAAGAACAATATAATAGTTTTCACTATTCAAGAGTTACACGCGTCGCTCTCTTTCTTCTACGAGTATCGCTAAACCCATTAGAAAATGATATGAACCCTACGCGCAATCAAAACTGGTATATCAGCATGAATATTAATAAAACAGCGTGGTACCTGTATTTCATTAGCGGATGTGGCGCTACGGTTAGGTGTTCTATAATCTTGTCATCACGGGCCAAACCACACCACAACTGTGCTTCGATCAGATACCATATCTATGTAATAAAAGTGGGAGAGAGATGAAGCGTACCTAGTACACAAAGGTGCTGTACTGGTAGTACATACTCCATATATCTCTTATATATATATATATATATATAAACGACTCTGAGGGAGAGAGGGAGAGTAACAAGAGAGAGGCTAAGAGGGGGAACGAGAAATCCCTAGATAATGTTAATAAAAAAAGAGCGCTATATATTGTGTAGTTATACCTGCTCCCACGTGAAGTCCAGAAGACCAGGAATGCGTGCTTCTTTGGTGCCTTTGTTCTTTTTCAGCCAGCTTATATATGCCTATATGCGTTATATCAAGATGAATTGCCCTTTACTCGTTATCGACATTGCATAATATAATGTAGATAATGATAAATGAAGACAAGTTAATAATTATAATAAAGAAGAGAGTTAGCGTAGCACCACGCGTGTGTGCTGATAAGGACACACATAACTCCATACGTGGAATCACGGAATTATGATATTATTTCTATGCAAGGAACACAATAGAGTTACAGCATGAGTGTATCATATGATGTAAGTTGATCAATTGCGAGGAATCTATCTCCTAGCATCGAGGGGCTTTAGGTCAGCGGAAATACAGAGAGATCATGTACCTTTCTACATTGCTGCGCACCTCCGCTGTCAGCAATAGATTCGCCCTGAGTTTGCGTTCCATTGTGCTGCAAAGTATCAAAGCATATATATATATATGTATATATATATATATATATATATATATATATATATATATAATATGCATAGATAAGAACATTCTTTGGTCTGCAC